CTCTGTTCGCTGTGCTGTCTAGCTGCCCTATCAATTTTATAGAATGAGAATATTGTGCCTGGGGTGTTGGTTTCATGGAATGAGAATGAAGGGAGGGTGGGCTTCCTCTCTACCCAAGGAATATATGCCAAATAGGGAGCCTGCTAGACACTCTTGTTGGGGTGAGAGGAGGGAAAAATGGTTCCTGTTTTCCAGACAGCAGAGGAGGTCTTTCCCTTCTTGTTAGTTGTCCATTTCATGGACTTGACTGTGATAATTTATTCTCTATCCCCTCTTCCTTCCTCTCTGTGTATTGTCCCCAAGGATTCTCAGGCTGGTACCCCTTAGCTACGCCCAGCTCAGTTCGAACATAAGCTCCTGGAGGGCAGGCACTGGTTGTGTTATGGTTTTATCATCGTGCCTGGCGAGGGATTTTTGAACTGCTTGTTGACTGCCATCTCATTGTCCTCAGGAGAGGGGATGCATCTTCTCCCACTCCAGCGAGAAACAAAGCTGCTTGTCTCTTCATCAAGAGGAGAGAGGGACACAGAAGATGGTTGCTCCCCTTAGCTCATGGGCACACAGCCTGCTGCCTCTTCCTGCTGCTGACCCAATAGGCCTTTCTTGACCACTTAGCTGGTCTCCAGCTTTCTCTTTGCATATCTATGACACGAGGCAGCCAGGCTCCAGGCATGAGGTAACTCTGGCATTGACACCAGGGCCAATTACGGGCAACTGTTCAGTACGTCAGGTAGGCTGCTGTGAGACCTTGCAGTGGAGAGTGCGTAGATAGGATGGCACCCCTACTAGGAAGTGACAGCTGTTGACGCAGCTCCACAAGAAACGGGTGAAAGTCTGACATGATGGTAGGTCTGTGTGTCCATCAAGTCGCTGAGCTGAGGGAAAGGCCAGAGAGGAGAATGATGACGATCAGAGAAAGAGCTGACAAGCTAACCTTTAGTCTCAGGAACATACCTTACCCCCTGCCATCCCAGGTAATGTTACCATTTGGCCCCCAACTAGTCCTAGTCTTAGCAGCAGAGTCAAACTTGGTCACATTTCTTGCCCTTGGAGGAACCCACAGATGCAAGAGCAGGATGATATTAACATAAAGAGGACTACCGATGGGTAGGATTAGATTTAAATCCTGGAGCTGACACCATATAGTCATGGGCAAGCCATTTATTTCACCTCATCCTTTATCCTAGACTTAGAGCTAGAAGGGACTTTAGAGGTTGTGACTCCAACTCCCTTCATCTTACAAATGAGGAAACTGAGGCACTAAGAGGTTACATGACTTCCCAGGGTCATTCAGCTATAAATATCTGAGATTGGGGCAGTGGATAGGGCACTGGCCCTGGAGTCAGGAGGACCTGAGTTTAAATTTGGCCTCAGACACTTACTAGCTATGTAAACTCTGGGCAAGTCAGTTAACCCTGTTTGCCTCAATTTACATACAAACACACACACACACACATATGTATATGGCAGGATATGGCAGGCCTTGAGTCAGGAAGACTCAAATTCCTGAGTTCAAATCTAGCCTCAGACACTTACTAGCTGTGTGACCCTGGCCAAATCACATATCCCTGTTTGCCTCAGTTTACATATATACATACATACACATATATATTGTGTATGCATATACACACATGCACATACACACACACACCCCTAATGTTTAAATTACTAGCTTGTGACCCTGGGCAAGTCACTTAACCATGTTTACCTCAGTTTCCTCATCTGTAAAATGAGCTAGAGAAGAAAATGGCAAATCATTCCAGTATCTTTGCCAAGTAAACCCCAAATAGGGTCACAAAGAGTCAGACACAACTGAAAAATGACTGAACAAGTTAACTTAGGTCTTTCTGACTCTAAGGGAGATAATATTTATAATATTATATATACATATATATAATATTATAATATAATAATGTACTGAAGGACAACATGGTACAAATGATGGAAGCCCAGCTTTGGAGTTAAGCAGGCCAGGATTTAAGTCTCACCTCTAACATACACTAGTGTGATGTGCTGGGCAAATCTCTTAATAACCTCCCAGTGTTCCTAAGCAACTTTTCAGACCATCACTTACAGGCAAGTTGCTGATCTGCATGGATTCTCCCCCTCAGGAAATTCCTTACATTGGTCAGATTTGGACCAAAAGAAAATATTTGTGCTACCCATCTCACAAAGTGGTTGTGGGACATGGGCTTTGTAACCCTTGTGAAAGCATATTAAAAAATCAAACTTCCTTTTTAGTTCGATAATAATAGCTAGCATTTACAGAGAGCTTTAATGTTTGCAAAATATATTACTTGATTTGATCCTCACAGCCTCCCAGTGAGGAAAGTGCTATTATCAATTATTGTACTTATTATAATTATAATTGTAAGTGCTATTATTTTGTTATTGTTCAGTGATGTCTGCCTCTTTGTTGACCTCATTTGGGGTTTTCTTGGCAAAGACACTAGAGTGACTTTCCCAGGGTCACACAGCTAATAAGTGTCTGAGGCCAAATTTGAACTCAGGAAGATGAGTTTCCTGACTTCAGGTCTAGCACTCTATCCATTGCACCCACCTAACTGCTCCCTTTTACAGATGAGGAATCTCTACTTTACAGATGAGGAAACTGAGGCTGAGCAGTGAAGTACCTTGCTTAGGGTTGTACAGCTAGTAAATGTTTTCGTATTTGAACTCAGATGTTCCTAACTCTGTGTTCAACACTCTAGCCATAAGATATGAAGAAATCAATCTTTCTCCAGCCTAAAATCCTTTCCAGACTTTAGGAAAAATCTGGGAAAAAAGGTAAGGACAGAAAACTGGGGCCTTGGAAAGGCAATCACGTCACTTAGATCCAGATTGTAGCCTTTCTACCAGCTGAAGTGATTAGGGATATGACCCACCTAAGGGCCATCAGCCCATACATATTTATCAAGTACCTAGTATGTCCAGACCCTGTGGAAAGCACTGGGGATGCAAAGAAAGGCCAAAGACAGTCTGAGCTCTCAAGGAGCTCACAATCTAATAAGAGGAGACTATATTGTATATGTACTATATATATATGTATGTGTGTGTGTGTGTGTATGCTTGTTTGTACTACATACGAATAAGTTTATCCTCCAGGATAAACTGGAGGAAATCAACAGAGAAAAGCATTAGAATTAAAAGGGATCTGAAAAGGTTTCCTGGAAAAGGTAAGATTTTCACTGGGACTTGAAGGAAATCAGGAAAACTAAGAGGGAAAGCATCTTAGCCATGGAGGATAGATCACCAGTGAAAATGCCCAGAGTTGGGAGATGAGTGGCTTATTCAAGGGACAGTCCAGTGTTGCTGGATCTCACAGGAAGGGCATAAGTAATAAAAATACTGGAAAGGGTGGGGGAGGCAGGACGAGCTGTGAATGTCAGAATACCAAACCCAGTATTCCCTATTTGATCCTGAAGCAATAGGTAGCCACTGGAGTTTACTCACTGAGGTTGAGGGGTAGTGACTTGGTCAGACCTAAACTTAAGGAAGGTCACTTTGGCAGCTTCCTCTTTTCTGTCAGGAAGATTTAAGGGTCCTGATCACAGGGAAGAGCCTCACGGGGTACTCAAGGAGAGTGTTCAAAGGAGAAAATGAGTAGTCTTAGGAGAAAATTGAGGATTGTTCTAGTAGATTGTTAACTAAAACTGTATTTTAATATAGTAACCTTTCCTTGGTTCAATATTTCTATAAATGTTCCCTCAAAGTATCTTGTGGTAGGGATGTCCAAGAGTATGGAGGAAGGAAGGGTAGAGGGGAAAAGATGGCTGTCACTTGGGCATATTTCTTTCCAGGCTAGAAATGTTTGGATTTATGGATGTTAAATTAATTTTTAAAATTGTTTCTGACAGACTTGTGCTTAAAATGCACAGTTTAACATTAGGGGTTTTTTTTGGCACCTTGAAATTCTATAGAAATGTGAGCTGTTATCATAGTCTAGGACGGGGTGGGGAACCTTCAGCCTCGGCCTCAAGGCCACATGTGGCCTTCTAGGTCCTTGGGTGCGGCCTTTTGACTGAGTCGAAGTTTTACAGAAAAAAATCCTTTTATTAAGGGGATTTGTTCTGTGAAGTTTGAATTCAGTAAAAGAGCCTCACTTGAAGAGCTACAGGGCCATATGTGGCCTCAAGGCCACATGTTCCTCACCCCTGGTCTAGGAAAATGGGCTCAAATAATTACCAAGGGTCTGTCAGTGAATGGAGAAGCAATTACTAAGTGCTTACTATGTGCCAGGCACTGTGCCCAGAGCCCATCACTGACAACATGGTGGAAAGGAGAAAACTTCAATCACTACAGCTAGAAAAACTTTGTGGTTTTTTTTTGGGGGGGATGGGTTTTGGGTTTTTGGGGGGGTTTTTTTGCTAGGAAATGGGGTTAAGTGACTTGCCCAGGGACACACAGAAAATTTTCATTTTTAGAAGCCTTTAGGCTTCTACCTGCAGCTCCTCATTAGTGTCTGGGGGGCCTCCTCTGGTCTGATCTTTTGGCCCTGATGGAAAGCAGTGCCCAAAGATGGAGATCTCTCTGCCCTTAGCAGTAGTACCATGGCTTTCTTTGCCTGGGAGCAAGTTGGGGAACTAGGAAGGTTCTTCAGGGCAGCTGTGCCAGCCTGACCCAGAGGACACCCAGATGTGGTATCTCTGACGCTTCCATGGCTGGGGCAGGCAGTCCTGGGTAGGTAGGTGAGGGATGGAGGGTGAAGAAGGCAAAGACTGACTGGAGGATTAAGGGGGCATAAGAACTCTAATCTGTACTGCCTCTGTAGACCCTGAGCAGCAGTCATAACCCCTCTGACTTCTTCAATTTCTTTCCCTAAAATGCAAGAATGGATAGAGTGTCTTGGAGTTCACAGGTGGATTCTGTTCACCTGCCTCTTCTCTAGGTCTGCAAAAGTGGGACTGACCCAGAGCTCTCCCCACCTGACTGACCCTCCCCACAGCCACAGCCTCCCCCAGGCCCAACATCTGAGGAAATAACCAAGCTTCAACACAGTATGAATAATGGGGTAGTTTATATGTAGTGGGCAGACACAAGAGACACCAGTCAGCAACACTGAGCTTTCTAGAGATAGACACACCAACAAACAGACAAGTAGGGCCCCTCTCCCTTATAAGAAACAGCCCAATGAACAGGTACAGACACAGACAGGCTGGGCTGACAGACGGATGCCAGTGGCTGGTTCACAGCAGTCTTGGCTCTAAGAACACTGGGTAGCATGTCCTCCTGCATGGCAGTCACAGCTCCCAGGCACAGTGAGAAAAGGGCAGCCAGGAATCTTTCTCTCCTTGGCTCACCTCCTATCACCTCACCAGTGTTTAGTGTCCAACTGGAGCAAAGCTTTGGCAGACAGGGTCTCAGGCTCAGTTTGGACAAGGTGGATAGGGCAGTATGAGAAGGAACTCCAAAATCCCTGGGTTCCCCTCCCCCCCAAGAAGGGGGCCCAGGCTGGGTAGCCTGGTGATAGCAGCAGCAAGGAGGGAGGAGAGGAGGGAGGTTTGGCTAAAAGGGCTTCTGGGCAGTTCCAAGGGTCCTCTGCTCTAGAAGGAGAGTCTGGCCCTGCTCAGCAGGACTTCTTAGATTGGGGTTTGTTGCCCATAGCCACCACACCATCATGGTGCAATAAATATATTTTCAAGTCATGTACCAGTGAATAGGATGAGGAATGAGGGGGAAAAGGGGAGATTGACTAGGATGAGGTGCATTAAGAAGAGATAAGTAAGGGAGTTCCATACAGCAATAAGGGGACCTGAAAAGGGAGACCACCAAAGTCCTGCTCAGGTAACAACCTCCCCAAAAGTCTGTCCACCATAGAGGGAAGGTGGAGGGAGAGAAAGAAAAAGGGAGTCATTCCCCACAGTCAGGGTCAGTCCATACCCCATCATGGTGGGTAAAAGAGCTCTGGGTCCCCCAAGCTCAGGCCATGGCCAAGGTCTGGCCAGAGGGGCAGAAGCAGGGCAGGAGGGCACCCACAGCATCCACAATAGCTTCCAAGTGCTCATCCTGGGCCTGAGGTCCACACAGCCGAATGAAGTCCGCCAGGCGCAGCAGGTATTCCAGGTTGTGACCAGAACGGCCGCTGCAGGCCAGGATCTGGGTGGCGATGTCTTCTTCTGGAGCTGGCCCCAGGTAGCCAGGGTTCTGTGGAGTGGCCACATAGGCCAGGGCTCGTAGAGGTTGGTCTGGGGCATCCTGGGGATAGAAGGTCACTACCTTGGTGTCATAGCCCCCTAACACAGCTTCCCGAACATCCAGATACTTAAGTGCTTCGCTGATCTGCTCCCCACGCACCTCATATGCCACACCCCATGTGCAGCCCTGTGGAGGAGGTAAGAAAAGACAGTGAGTTAGGGTCAGGTATGACAACCCCCCAACAATTACCCTGCCTATCACATCCCTTCCCCCTGCTCCATAAGGTCCTTCAGTCTTGTCTTTTCTATCAGTACTACAGTTTCCAGGGAGACAGGAGCTAATCTACCCAAGCATCAAACAACCCCACAGGACATCAATTAATAACCCAAGATAGGGCTCATATCCATTGCAGGGGACACTCATTCCTCACCCCACAGGACATCAATTAATAACCCAGGATAGGAATTCCATCCATTTCAGAAGGCAATCATTCCCCAAGCAGGACTATGTCAAGATACTTTAGGCCAGGGTTCTCAACCTGGGGTTCAAGAACTTGTTTTTTAAAATATAGATAGATAGATAACTATTTCAATATGACTGGTTTCTTTTATAATGCTATATATTTTACTTTGTGCATTTAAAAACCTCATTCTGAGAAAGGAGCCATAGGTTTCATCAGACTACCAAAAAGGGTCCATGACACTAGAAAAGTACCCTAGAATCTAGATCAAGAATGGGTTCTTTAAGTCTCTCCCCTTGCTCTATGGCTCTATCACCACTATCATCCCCAAAATTAGGAAGATCTAATCTATCCTATGACACCCCCCCCCACTCCTGAGCAAAGGGTTTTCAGCTCTACCTGGCTTCAACCTCCCTTGCCACCACTACTCACCTCATGATCCTCAAGAAGGGTCACCACCCGACCAGGCTGGGGAAAAAAAAGAGAGAGAGAAGAGATGGGGAAGAGAGGAGAGACTGATTGAGTTAGAAATCAGCATCGGCCTAGGGAAGCATTTACCTACTTGAGGAGAACCCACTACCACACATTTAACCCCCACTCTACCCTCCTCGACAGTCTCACGGACACCAAGATCCAGGGCTGAAACCCCCGAATGGGATAATGGGGCTGCCTCCTATGTGTTCGTCTGATGAGAACCAATCAGCCCCACCCCAGGAGACTGGCACCTCCCCAGGAGGGTCTTACTCAGGTTACCAGCACCTGAAGAATGTCTCACTCAACGCATCCATCAATCATCAGTGAGGTACCCCGGGCGTTCAGGGACCACCCCCACCCCTACCCCATGCCATGCCAGTGTCTCCAGCCTGGCACTGTTCCCCGGCTCACCATCTTGTCGCTGCCCCGATGGAAAGTGTCCCCTTGCCAGAAACGACGGCTGTACCCGCGGACGAAGCCCACACGGCTGTTGCTGTAGGCGAAGTCTGGTCTCCATACTAAGGAACCATAGCCGAAAATCCAGAGTGCTGGGGGGTCGCTGTCCTCCCTGGGGGGCTGCAAGGACAAGGACGGGGTGGGCGAGGCGGGTGGGGTCCTCTGGGTCGGCGGTTCCTCCTTCATGATGCCCGGGGTATGAATAGGGTCCGGACTACGCCTGGGACTGGGACCTAGGAGTGCGGACCAGGGATCAGGACAGGACCCGGGGTCGGGATTGTGATCGCGATTGGGATGGAGACTCGGGGCGACATCTGCTACAGCTGAGCAGTCCCTCTTGAGCCGCGGCCCTTTAAACCCTATGCTCTGCCGGCCCCGCCCACGTAACCCAGGAGGCCGGCCCTTCTGGGCAGGGAAAAACTATGACGGACCAATAATCATCGGCTTTCCCTGATCCTCTTTGCCGCGCCGCATTTTTATTGGCTGCATCGGTAATCGGTCACGGTTCATAGGTGCTCACTGATTGGCCGGACTAAACCTCTGTCAAAACTTGGCAGAAATGATGCAAGGGCGGGGGAGGTTTCCCTGTGCCCAGGCATGCAGCAAAGGGCCCAGAGGATTGCATCAGGCAGCCGGCGCCCGGCGCAGGCAAATGGCACGGGGCAGCTGCATCCACCAGTGGACACAGGGCAGCGGGCTTCATTCAAACAGCGTGCGACCTACACGGGGTCGGGGTCAGGCTGGAGCACTGGCAGCGTCCAGCTGGCGAGGAGGCGGCGGCGGCGGCGGCGACGACGGCTGTTGGCCGTCTCTGCAGAGGCCTCTCGGGACACTGCCCGCCCCTGCAGTCCCCGAGGGTCACCCAGCGGCTCAGGGGTTGGTAGTGGACAGGCAGCTAGACTTGAGCGTGGCCCCTGGCGCCGGTCGGTCGACCCCTTGTGGGTCTCCTTCGCCCATTGCGGCTGGCATCAGGCTGGCCAAAGACAAGGGCAGCCGGTGCCAGAGGATCCCCGGGGGGCAGCAGCGGTCCTCCGCCCACCGTTCTGGAGGTCAATCCCACCTTCCGCATTTCCTATGACCGTGCCCAACCGCGATGTGACCGGTCCGAGGCTACTCCACGGAGTGGCCTTTGGGTGTTGCACCTTTGCTCTAGCTCCGGCACTGCGGCAACTCCATTGGATTCTCCCTCCGCATTCCACTCAGGTGCCTCATGCTGTTGTCCTTCATGAGCAAATGGGGAAACTGAGTCACAGGGGGTGCATAAAGGGCTCTTTGCAAAGGCTGTGGGCTGAGTCAAGGCTAGGGGAACCCCGAGCTCCTCCTTGTTCCTTCCGGGATGAGAGGGTGTCTTTGTGCAACCCCTGAGGCTCTGGGCTAGAGCACGCGGAACCACGTGAGGGTCAAGTGTAGACTGGGTTTTTTTCGGCCTCTGGAACGTGGAAAGGCAGGTAGTGGTTGCGGGTTCTGTCGGATAAGAAATCCCCTTCCCGCTCTCCTTTCCCAGGCTTCAGTCTGTCCTTGCTAGTACCCCCAACAAGTTTGAGACCCTGGGAAGAAGCTGATTACCAACTAGGGGTGGTGAAGGGGGGAGCAGGTGAATGGCTAAAGGAGATAATAGAGTCAGAGAGAGATCAATGACGATGGTCTGGAACTGGGACTTGAAGGGTGTGGGTAGGGAGAGTTGGAACCCTCCCTCCAGGCCAGGGATAGGGGAGAGGATCAGGAATTGAGACCCCAGAGGACGATGCTGAGGCAGGAATTATTTGGTTACTACTCTCTAAGAGGTCAGTTTCAGTAAGGGGGCTTCCCCAGAATTTCTGGCCACAGATTTAGGAAATGAACGCATGACAGAAGGAACGATAGGAGGAAACGCTAGCAGCTCTTGTCCTGAGAGGAGGAGAATTGGTTTAGTTATGCCAGGCCCAGAGGTTTCCGTAGCTACAGCCAGCCCTGGGCGCAGGAGTTAGGGAACCGAGCCAGGTCTAGTGTACCGAAAGGATATGCAGCTCTGGATAGTAGGTGGATGGACCGACTCTCTGTTGTCCTGTTCCACTGGACTTCCAATGAGGATTGATGTCTAACACACAGACTATTATGGACAAATCTGGGTGAGGAGGGAAGGTTTCTGGGCAGGCTGACCTAGAGAACTTAGCTCAAGGCTTAGACAAGATAAGGTGGCTGTTTCCTGGGGAGTTCCCCAAAGGGATTTCAAGGATCCCTGATTGCCAGCCATGGGGTACCACGTAGGTTGCAATCTCACTACACCTTGGTATAGATGGTGTTGGAGAGTTGCTGTGGCCAAAAAGGTCATCATCACCCTGCATCCTATCTAGTAATGAGCCTCTGAAGTTGGCTAGACTGGTCCTAGAACAGCGGACACACAATCTGTCATCAGACCTACAGGTACAGAGAGACTAGTGTTTCACAAAGGAAAACAGGGTTGGGAGGGGAGGGGAGATAGGGCTTGGAGTACCTTCTGTCCCTTGAAAATGCTGCACTAAAGTGCCAGGTGAAGTGGGTTCCTGATCATTAGCATAAATCTGCATAGTTTATGTCTTATTTGGTATTCACTATACATTTAGAATGTAAGGTATTGGCTGTCTCCAAAATGGTTATTTGTCCTGGATTATTTTTGAATCCAAGCTCCCTACTGAGTGAGGAGAAGACACTATTGCTTTGCTCCTTGCTCTCTGGAGAGTGGTGACTTCTGAGAATACTTGGCAGACGTGAAAAAAAAAAAGGTCTAGAGACAAGATCTGGTGGGATCTAGTGAAAGAATCCTTGGCTCAGCCTAATGCCCTGGGTGACCTTGACTCAACCTAGTACCTGTCAAAATTTCCTCTAAAGTCTGGTCAGGGGTCCTTTTTATACCTTTTCCTATCCCCATTCCTCATAGAACATTATAGGAGCTTTCTAGATTTGTGTTGGAATGAACCTCAGAGATCACCTAATACAATCCACTCATTTTATTGGGAGAGAAATTACTTACCCAAGCTGCACACTGGTATGTCACAGGGCCTCTGACGACAAAATGAAAACCAGTACCCTAGTCAAGGCCCGGAGTTTGACCTTCCCCACCACCTTTTCCCTTTTTTGGCATTAGCCAGACACTCTCTTTGCGAGATGCCCCCTGAAAAAAAAAATCCACAAACAAAAAAAAATGTAAAACCCACCTTCAACATCATTGCACACAATATTTAGATGCTGAGCTCCTGGAGGGAAAGGGATATAAGACAGCTCCCAGAACAGCCCACACTGAGGGCATAGGTACTTATGTTAGATGTGCCCAAGCCCCATATCCACCCAGTACAATTTGGTATGATTTGTGGATTATTAGCTTGTCTACTCAACCATTTCCTATCAATTTTCCTGTGTCCTGCATTTTCTATTCTTTCTCATTTGTCATTCCACCAATCAATCAACTTTATGGTAGTGAATACACAAGAGTTTGGGATATCTTCAGCTGAGTGGAAAAGTCAGTGAGACAACAAACATTTACCAAAGGACAACCATGTGCTAAGCACTATGCTAAGTGCTAAATATTCAAAGAAAGGTCTCTCAAGAATTTCACAGAATGGATCAGCTAGGTGGCGCAGTGGATAGAGCACTGGCCCTGAAGTCAGGAGGACCTGAGTTCAAATGTGACCGCAGACCAAACACTTGACACTTACTATCTGTGTGACCCTGGGCAAGTCACTTAACCCCGATTGCCTGGAAAAAAAAAAAAGGAATCTCACAGTCTAATGGGTGAGACAACAGGCAAACAACAATGTACAAACAGAATGAATTGGAGATCATCAACAATGGGAAGGCACTAGCATTAAAGGAGGTTGGAAAAGACTTCTTGAAGAAGATAGGACTTTAGATGAGACTTATAGGAAGCCAGAGAATGCAGCAGGTGAATATGAAGAGGGAGAGAATTCCAGACATGGCGGCATGTAGAGAAGTAGGAAGAGAGTTGAGGAACAGCAAGGCCGCCAGTGTCACTAGATCTCAAAATATGTGGGGGTAAGATTGGAAAGGTAGGAGTGGGCGAAGTTACAAAGAGCTTTAAATGCCCGACAGGATTTCATATTTGATCTCATCATTAGAGAGAGCCACTGGAATTGATTGAATAGAGGGGAGGGGTCAGATCTGTTCCTTAGGAAGATCAATTTGACCACTGAACGGATGATGGACCGAAGTAGGGAGAGACTCATGGCAGAGACCATCCAGAAAGCGATTGCAGCAGACCAGGCCTAAGGTGATGAGAGCCTGTTCCAGAGTGGCATCAGTGTGAGGGGAGAAAAGCAGGCATTTGGGAGAGATGTTGCAAAGGTAGAATCAGCAGGACGTTCCTTTATAGCCAGTATGTAATTTGGTGGTTAAGTGATTTATCTAGGGTCATAAAGCCAGACAAGACTTGAACCATGTCTTCCTGACTCTCAGGCCAGCTCTCTATTCATCATACCACCTTGACTCTCAAACAACGCCATGAAATTTGCAAAATTATAAAGATATATATATATATATAAAATATAGGTATAGATATATTATAGAAACATATATGTATGTATGTATGTATATATATGTGTGTGTGTGTATACATATTTGGTTTCCCATCATAATCCTATGTAATAGACAGGGATAAGAAATGGACTTTTGATTTTCTTAGTATAGGGAACACCCTATGAGGAACCCTCGCACTATAAATGAAGGTCTACATCTTCTCTGAAATTTATTGTCTTAGAGACTAAACAACACTAAAGCACTGAGAAGTTAAATGACTTGCCCAGGGTCACACAACAAGTTTGTATCAGAAGTGAGATTTGAACCCAAGTCTTTTTGGTTTGGGGTCAGAATTCTTGCAACTATGGCACATTGTCTTTCACGAGGTAGACGCAAGAGGCATTAACCCATTTTACAGATGAAGAAACTGAGATTTAGCAAATATAAGGGTCACATAACTGGGTAACTGTCAGATATGGAGTTCAAACCCAGGTCACTCCTGTCTTCAGGTCCAGAAATCTTTCCACTTAGGAGAGAAACAATTGTGTAGATAGTGTGAAATGATGGAAAATTGAGAAATCTTCTCTCTCTGGCATTTTGTGCTTGTCCTTTGAATATGGGTAGTATTTGATGTCCTAGGGATTGGCAAGAATTCAAATAAATGAGGCAGTCATTCTATGAAACTGCTGACCTATGAGAAGTTGGCAACCTTTCCAATTGCCCAATCTGTCCCCCTGTTCCACTCCTGTCCAGGACAGGAGTTCTATCCAGAAGATGAGCACATCCTCACACTAATGCAGGATTGACCTAAGTTTGCTTGCTGTCTGCCTTATACCTTCCTCATCTGGCAAGAAAACAATTAATGTAAATGTGCTGGTTTAAAAGGAGGAAATCCCAGTTATTTTTACATCTCCACTCCTGATGGGCCTCAGACTAAAATTCCATGCTGATCTTTGTAAACACAGTTGTTACAAATGTGTTATTTAAATAATTTTCAAAGAAGTCATCAACAAAGGAGTTCCTTAAATCAAAGAGGTGATGTTGTCTCAAAAAAGTTATTATCGAGGGAGTTACTTAAAGTCACAGAGGAGATATTGTCAAATGGAGTTTTCACCAAAGGAGTTAATTAATCAGAGAGGGGAATGATATCTAAGGGTGTTGAAAGCAAGATTTGCAGAGATAATCTATGGTGGGTTAAACCTCTTGGAGATAATTGAATTGACTATTACTGGCCTACACAGAAGTATATGGCAGAAGAGATGAAATACATATTGCTAGGGCCATCAAAAGAGAGTTTGGAAGCCCCCAGTTATCTTTCCGGTCCTTATATGATCCCATGGGACTCTGGCCCTAAGTGCATTTATCCACCACACCCAGTGTGATAGAGGATGTGAGAGTGAGGCAGTGAAGATGGAGAGGATAGCTGTTGATTCTCTGGTTGGGAAGAAATTCAACACCAATTAATTGCCTGCTGTGTGCAATAACTTGGATAACAAATAGTACTCCTGCTTTTAAGTGGTAAACAAAGAAGGCAGCTGTAGTTGAACATTGGATTTGGCATTGGAGGACCTGCTTTAAAATTTTGCCTTACAGTTTGTGATGATACAAATAATTTTACCTGTGGGTCTTAGATCCCTCCTCTGCAAAATAAGGGGATTGAAACAGATGACCTCTGAGCTCCCTGCTGGCTCTAGAGCTATGTTCCCGATTGATTCTGTCGTAGGGGAGGGGAAACATAGCTTGCACACAGAAATATTATAAAGCATGGAGTGATGGGGCAAAGGAGAGATCCAAACATGGTGCTCTTGGAAAGGAAGCAGTTGCCATTTTTTTCTTGTACACGAAAGACAAGGTCCCATAGACAGTGTGTCTGGCATTTCAGAAACCATTCCTCAGGGATGGGAAAGAGGAGAGGCAGAGTGAATATTTCCTCCTTTATTTGGCAGGCTCTTAGGCAGGTTTCAAAGGCAAATAAGTGGCTCAGTGGATAGAACACTGGGCCTGCAGTCAGGAAGACCTGAGTTCAAATCAGGCTTCAGACATTCACTGGCTGTGTGACCCAAGGCAAGTCACTTAACCTCTGTTTGCCTTAATCCGCTGTAGAAGAAAATGCAAGCCACTTTCCAAGTTTCGAAGAGTCAGACCTGACTTAATAACAACAAAAAGCTCTTAAGAGTCAATCACTGCAGGTGGTTGTGTTGGCAGAATAGGCTGGCAATATTGCCCTTCACGTGGGAGAGGGAGAACCTGAGCTTTCTGGTCCTTGGCCTGCTGTAGCTGGTAAGCCTTGGAGCAAAGAAAGATGGAGTTAAAGTACAGATCAAGATTCCTGGGAGCCAGTAGCAGCAGAAGAGGAAGACAAGGTGAGGGGCAACTGTCCAGGATAGACTTTCCTTGTCCAACTCTGCTCCCAGTCTGTTTCCCAGTTGGCTTGTCTCTTCATCAATTTGATAATACGGCCAACATTTAAATACCTACCCGTGTGCAAGGGACTGATCTTGGCTCCAGGGAGAGATATCCCTGCCTTCTAGGAGCTTAAGATGTACCCAAATAATGTAAGGTAAAATGAGCTACTCGAAAAGGAGGGGTAGAGACAAAATGCTGTAATAAGTATGAGTTATAACAAGTTATCACTTTTAGCTCGGGAGTATCAAAGAAGCCTTCATGGAGGAGGTGGCTGCAGACTTGGGCATAGGAAGATTTCAAGATACGTAGATTCCAGGCCTGGATTACAGCTTGCCAAAAGGCATTGGATGCAGCTGACTGAGGGATAAGGCCAGGAGCCGTTAAATGAACAAACGTAGAATTCTCACACCTCCCTTTTCCGCAGGACCTTCTGCCCGTGAGTGGGAGGATGAACAGTCCATTACATCCCAGTTCTACTCTTGTCATTGCTTGGGTGTCTCACTGCTATGCTGAGCTTGCTTGTCACTGTTCCAAACGAGCTGAGCAGAAGCTCACCGTGGGTTAGAAAAATGGAACTGAACTACATCGGCGAACACCGCATCCAGTGCCTTCTCCTGCCATTTCTCTTGCGTAGAGCCCTGAAGCTACGGAAATATGCCGAAATCGCCTATACAGCATTGGTGACGCAAACTGGAAAATCAAACCAGGTATCAGAATTCCCAAGCCGCACGAGCCAACGAATATGTTTGCTCTTGGTCGGACACATACAATCTCCCTCTTCGAGACTGGATAGAAGTTGTTCCCCGGGAGGGCTTTTCACCTGCACCCTGTGTCCTAGGACTCGGGCGATGAGGGGTCCAGTGGGGCTGAGCCCCCATGCCGCAGGAACAGATGGGAGGGAGCCGCGAAGACAGGGCCCTGGGACATCACTCAGTCCGTCCCGGGCCATAGCTACCCCGGCACCAGACCAGACGGAGTCCAGCGCAGGCAGCAGCGCCCTCTGGCGCCAGACTCTGCAGAGTCCGTCCCGTCTATCCCCACCCCCAATTTCATCCCCAGTCCCGATCTCCCTCTGGAGATAAGGGCTCCGCTTCTCTCATACCCTTCTCAGCCCCATAAAGGAGTCCCTCAGAACCCTGGCCAGGATTTGGAGGGGTGGAGTCGGAGGTGGGAGGCGGGTGTAAGGCTGGACGGGGCTTGGGCCAGTCACCCCCCCCCCCCCGCCCCAGACAGGCTCCAGGAGGCGGGGGAGAAGCTGGCGATTTAGGTTCCAGAGAAACTCGCGTCCTTCGACCGCTTCCCGCCCCGGGAAATGAGCCGGGGTCGAGAGGCAGCAAACAGGAAACTGGACTGTAACAATGAACACGGGTGGGGGCGACGTGGGGGGAGGGAGGAAGAAAGGATGGATGGAGCAAGGGCTCTTAGGAGGAGGGGGTGGGCCAGGAGCCCCCCCGGGCCCGCCTCCCCGGTGCCAGCCCCAGTGCCCGCCCTGGGCACTTCGAGGCACAGACTGTCCACTCTCCCCGCAGCTCCAGGGACTGAGCTTTGCTGGGCTGGGCCTGAGCGCAGCTGCTGCCCCGGCAGGTGTAGGGCTGACCCTGGACTCTGCAGGGCGCTCCTGAGCTCTTCCGGCCCCACAGGGTTTCAGTCTCGGGCCACCGTCCGGGCGCGCGCAGACTACAGGCTCTTTCTAGCCACACCACGCTGGGGCTCGATCTTCTCGGGGGCGGGGGGAGGGAGGAGACCGCCCCGGGAAAGCAGTTCCGGGCCCTCCCAGCCTCAAACCTATCCCCGGGATAGAAATATAGTCATAGTTCCCTGAGTGAATCACTTCCATTCCCAACACAGAACGCATGAGACCACGTGGGGGGAGGGAAGGTGTGGGTAAGCTTTCCCTGGGGATCAGCTGCTGGGAGGAAACCTCAGAGCCAGGCTTCCCTGAGGAGAAGATTGCAGGGTCACAAAGAGGAGGTCAGGGAACTATTCGGGCCTTGATAGAGCAGGGCGTGGTCTTCTACAGGTTCCATCCTTGTAAAGAGGGTTTTACGGGGGAGATAGCAGTGGTTTAGCGGATAGAGAGCTGCCTTTGGAAGGCGAAAGATCTGCATTCAAATCCTCCCCTCTGGCCTATAGTGTCTTTGTGATCCTGTGCAAGTCACTAACCCTTTTAGTGCTTTAGGCAATCTACATTGATAGAGTTTCCTTCATACCCATGGAATTACAGGTCCAAGTAATTTTTGTAAAGTGAAACGTCGATTTTTGCACACAGGTAGAAGGAAGGGGCGGGTAGGGAGCAGGTGGACACAGTTTTTCAGTTTTCAGTAGCTCCCATTGCCTCCAGTGACGGGGTGGGGGGGGTGAGGTGGGGAGAAGCAGGACCAGTGTGCAGGTCCACCTTTCTCCTTCACGGCCCTTAGGCTGAGCCTCACTGTGATTCCAGCAGGAGAGATCCCAGAGAATTCTAGCCCTTGCAGGTATCGCTTGATCTGGAAGATTCCCTACTGAAAAGCAAGGTTGGATATCATGAAAAAGGTTCAGGGCTCCAAGTTTTAAGAAATTCCAAAGCACACAATTATTCTGGGAAATAACGGTTTAGGTTTGAGAAGATGATTCGCAAGGGATTCTTAAAAGCAATTCACAGTCTGTTTACAGCTCAGACTTGGCCTTGACACTTTTACACTTCGGACATTTCTTAGGTTACCTCTCCACCTAGCCCAGGTTTGCATGTCCTTATGGATGAGGGGAAGGACTTGGACCCATAAGGAATTCTACCTGGGATTCTTCTACAGGAGCCAGTCCATATAAGTAGGAGGAAATTCAAATCCGGCAGAGATTATATGAAGACAATTCCCCTGCCCTTTGGCACAACTAGCTGTCAGCTGTGTGAAAAAAGGGGACTTTATAAACCATGGGTTTGAAGCTCCAAAAGAGGAACCCGACAATTTCTCTCCCTTCCATGAGAAGGGAGACATTATCCTTCTTTTGGCATTATCCAAGTTCTGAGCAGACACAAACAGAAGTACAGACAAACACACACACAATCTAAGTCTGTACAGCCAGACAAAGCTTTGGGAGTCTCCCTTGGACCACATGTGTAGTTGTATACATGTCTTCTGGGAGCAATATCCCAGATGTAGGCAACCCTACTGGTCTCTAATTTAGGTAGCCTGTCTCAATGAAGCATTTCAGTTTTTATTATGCGGACGTGCAGGGTTGCGGGTGTCCTACCTGTCCTCCCCCCACATGGGAGCCTCGTCATCTCTCCCCCATGTCCTGGCTACAGCTTCCCCCACCCCCCATGGCCCGGGAGCTGCTTTCCTGTTTCATTTTGGGCAGGAAGAGTGAGGTCGTGTTGTTCTTCCCATCACTGCCGCGCAGGCTGTGGGAACAGCACTTTGGCTGCTTTCCTGTTTGATACTCTGTGTGTACAGCAGGACAGAGGGTGTATATCTCTGACTGTATCTTCCAGTGGGTGTGTATGTTTGTGTGTGCATATATTAGTATTAACCTGTCCATATACTTCATACAATCAGTACCTAGGTTAATGTGTGCATGTTAAGTGCCATGTGGGAGTGTGAGCAGGTCCTGTGTTTGATCCTGGTATTTAATTAGGAGCGAGGCATCTGGTGGGTTTATTTCGCTTTGCTGGGGACAGACTCTGAGCTCAGAGCATCTGCTCAGCTTTTTGTCAATGGTTTTTTGAGGCCCTTTTAAAAAAAAAATCATTCACTCCAGTGACTGCGCAGGGCTGGTAAGAACTATAGTCCTAGGGAAACCATCCCGAGTAATGGCAAAATAGAACTGAGTAGAGATTGGAAACTCTCTCCCTCTCCATTTCTTCAGCTGAAGAAACCACATGCCAGTAGGGCTTGCTCTTTCTCGGTATCCCACCCCCAAATACCATACCTCATGCTAATTGCTGCAAGCTAATGTTTATAGGGGTTAGGCTGGTGGTAGACTTTGGGTTCCTACCATAAAGAGTACCAGCTGCAGCACTTTCCTCAAAGTTACCAGATACTAGTACGGCTCAAAACTCCCAAGCTCCACCAGTAGCAACAATAGCTATCATTTATATAGTGCTTTAAGGTTTGTAAAGAATTTTACAAATTCTTTTTGTTCATTTGATCCTTGCAACAACCCTCAGAGGTGCTATTATTATCCTCATTTTTACAGATGAAGAAACTGAGGCACAGAGAGGTTAACTGGCTTGCCCAGGGTCACAAAGCTAGTGTCAGAAGCAGGATTCCACATAGGTCTTTTCCTGACTCCAAGTCCAATGCTCTATGTACTGTACCACCCAGTTGTCTACCAAACTAAGTTGAAGGAAAAGAGAAGCAGTTGGAATCTTCTCCTCCATGAAGTAATTGTGAATTGCCTGACTACAGCTTGCTTCTTTCAGACACAGAAAAAGCAGGCCAGGAGATTTTCCTATGGGAACAGTAGAGGGAAGAGGCCCACCTAGAGCCAGCATCAAAGCATAGAAAGGACAGATTTAGACTGAGCCAGCTTCTGCAAAGGCCTGGACTTAGGACACACACATCCACACACAGCGTATCCCTCAAGAGCCTGGCCAACTCCAGGAGATAGAAACCATAGCTAGACAACAACCACTTGGCAGGCAGGGTTTGGCACTGTTTAAAGGGGAAAAAGGGTAATAGGGGTTAGGAAACATTCCAACTCATCACAAAGATAGGACCCAAGAAGTAATAAACCTCTGTACATTTCTGTTCAGGATTATAAATACACATTATATACAAAATAATGTTATAAAATGTAGAAAGGTCAGTGCTTCTCATTCTTAAATTATTGAAATACTAGAACCAAAAATAAAAACTACAAAAAAACAACAACCCATATTATTGATTTTTGAAAGTCAGCTTTGAAAGTGATCCAAGGGGCAGTAGTGAACAGTGAGAGCAGTATCAGGCCCCTGTCAGTGTAGATGGTTGTGGGTTGATTTTTTTTGGGGGGGGAGTAGAAATAAGGGAGAGGGAAGGAAGAGGATTCAGGCAACATCACTGTCCCCAACTTCCTCAGGTTTTGCAATATTATTGGCCAAAACTCCCTCCCCACCCCACTCGGCCCAGCACCCCTGGACTACCTCAATTCCGGGTAACTAAACTTGGCCTAACACACTTTGCTCAACTGATGAATGAGATTATAGCCACAGTCAACCCACAAAGGCAAGGGTACCGAGAGCCTGTTTTCCCAGCAGCCCAGCCCTGCCCCTTCATCTCATCTGTTCAGGCTGGTGTCTTGGTGCCATGTGGACCAATGAGGCAAGCTGGAAACTGATTGACTGACGCATAGGAAGGGGAGGTGGAAAGTATGCCCTTTCTTTCTCTTCATCCCTAACCACTAGTGATCCCATAATGGGCATGGGGAAGCAGGAACTAAAGCCTCAATAAACCAAGGCAGGAGGTTGGAGGGGAGTATTAAGGAGAAAAAACCAAAATGAAATGAAAAGGCCCACATGCAGTAGTTTGGAGGCACAGGGCAGAGAGCTCTCCTCTCCCTTCAGGCCTATACCCCAGTTCGAATGGGGCACCCCCTCACTCCTCTAGTATTGAGGTTCTATCACTACCCCCAGAAAACCTGCCCCTTCTCTTTCCCTCTCTCCCCTTGAAGTTATGTCCAGCTGTTGCCACAGTCTTCAGGTCCTGTGCTGGAGGCACTTCGGGAAAAAACACCGATGATGCTGGTTGGGGCCAGAGATGCTTGGACTTCGGCCCCCTGTAACATGGAGCACCAAAGGTCACCACCAAGGAGGATTGAGTCCTGGCCCAAGCCCCCAACAAAGGCGGCTATTAGCTGAGCAGGCAGAGGTGATTGAAGTCTCTTCTGCTCTCCTCTCCATCTCCCTTTCAGCCAGTGGCAGCCCCACTTGAAGGATTCCAAATAAAGGCATCCAGAAGGTAGAGAAGGATATTGCATCTCTTGGTCAATTCACAGTCTGTCCAGTTCACCCAGTCCCCTCCTCCTCCTCCTGAGAGCAGCACGTTGCATAATAAAAACGTCCCCATCCAGGTCGCAATTGTAAACAATGCAGTAGGGAGGTCCAGCTGCTGGGGCCAAAGCCGGGGCATCCTGGCCAGGCTCCTGCCTTATACCTATGGGAAATAAAGTAGGGGATGAAAAAGAAGAAAAAGGTTAGTCCAGGTCAGAGGATGATCCATTTAGGGTTAGATGGGGCCACAGAAGCCATTTAGTCCAATCCCCTCCTTTTACGGATGAGGGAACTGAGGTATAGAAAGGTATATTAACTTGCTCAGGGTTACATAGCTACTGAGTAGGATTTGAATCCAGGTTTATGCTCATACCAAATCCAGTACCCTATTCACTACACCACTCACACCTTCTACCTGACTGGCAGGTTAATGGCAGGTAAAAAACCAAGCTCAGTTATTATATTGAATGGAGAAAGAAAGGGAAATCCACCATCCTTTTCTGGACCCCTCTGCCTCTACCACATACCATAGTTCATAATGCTATGCACAGCATACTTTAGAATAGTCCCCTAGGGCCAGGGCCATAAAGGCAGTGTAATATGGTGATGGGGTAAAGGGGTGGGGTTGGGGAAGCAGGAATGGAAAGAGGAGGGAAGAAGAATCTCCCTCACCCACTAGCAGCTGGGAAGCAGAGCCTGGGAGTTGGCCTAATGCCACGGCTGGCCCAACCCAGCACTCATATAGGAGGAAGGGGCCCATCCCTGCCTCACCAGAGCTCTTGTTTCATACCCCAAGTAAGGATGGGGCCAGCAGGGACTGAACAACCCACTGGCTGAATGCTGCCTGTCCAGGCTAAGTCCTGACATCTACCCCCATTCAGGAGGCCAGAGGCAAGTAGTAGCCAACCATAACCATCAGGATAGGGTAAACTGGGTTTTCTTTTCTTTCCTTCTTTCTTTCTTTTTTTTTAAATTTTTAGGCAGTTGGGGTTAAGTGACTTGCCCAGGGTCACACAGCTAGTTTGGTCTGAGGTCAGATTTGAATTCAGGTCCTCCTGACTTCAGGGCCGGTGCTCTATCCACTGCACCACCTAGTTTCCCCTAAACTGGGTTTTCTTTAGAGTCCAAAGGGATAAGGAAGGAAATACACTCTCCTCTCATACACACACACACACACACACACACACACACACACACACACACAAAATATTCCAGGCCCCCCTGCCCCAGCTCACCTCTGTGGCAATGACACACTCATTTCTCTCCTCTGATATCAAACACACTGACTGGTACATGGAATCCCGAGGGGAACATATTGCCGATATCCGACACTCTGGCTTTTCACTGAAGGGAACAAGAGGCAGTGCGAAAAATTGAAATGGGGAAGGAGGGGGGAAAGAAGATGTACCGACTCACAAGGCAGGAGAAGCAAGAGTCAAGACAGCACAAGAGAACTGACCAATGTCTACAACCTATTCAGTATCTCTGCTGAAGATCAAGGAAATCCCAGTGTGGCCAAAAGAGAAATTCAGGATTTGAAGACCGCCCCTAGGTACTTGGATTCACTGTCCCCTCTCAACCTGACTGAAGGATCCCCCTGGGTCTTTGAAAAGGCTAAAATTCCCACCAGAACTTTGAGTGGCAAGGATAAGTTGGAGAAGGGAAAAGAGAGAAACTGAATCTGTGATTTCACTGGCCCAGGGGACTTCTGAGTGAGGGAATTCCCTCTACAAATGCAGGTCAGCACTTTCTCTGCAATATATAGTCCTAGAGAATGACCTAGAGCACTGACGTTAAATGACTTGCCCCAAGGTCACACAGCCTGTGGCTCTGTGTGACTTGTCCCAAAGTCCTCCTGACTTTGATGCCAGCTCTGTCTCCACTACATGCTGCCACTCAGTAGAGGTAAGAAGAGGTAAAAATCAGGATCTTGACAACCCTTTTCCTCCCAGGAACCCTATTCCTGAAGGACCCAGTGGTGCCCTGGAGTTCACCCTAAGCTGGCTTCCTTTCTCTCCTGCAGAAGCATTCCCTAGCAGATGCAAAAACTGGAACGAGAAGCACTGGGACCAGACTGGGACTGGTGACAGCCCCACGTGGGAAGCCAAAGCCCCTTTTAGGTCCCCCGTCCCCCACGACCAGTCCAAACCCTCACCTATGTAGCCGTAGCGGTGCCTTCTCCCCTAAGCCCTTGTCATTAGAGGGGTACTTGCCCAGCGCGACCCCCCGCCCCAGAGGTCCTGGGGCCAGATTGTAGTCTGTGTGTTTCTGCTGCTTGCTGCAGTTGGATTTCTCCACATCACAGTCCACTTCTAGCTCCTTCTTCTGGTTGGTGTTCTTTAGCTGGGTGGCAGGAATGAGGTTGTCTTTCTGAAAGTCTGACAAGTTGTTCATGGCCTCCCTGCCACCGGCCTCTGGCCTTCGAAGCCGAAGCTGCCTCACGGCCACTGCCACCATCCCCAGGAGCACCAGCATGGCCGCCAGTCCCACACCCAGTGAGACGGCCACCCAGGGGAAACCTGAAGTTGGCTGCTCCACCTTCGCTGGAGGGAGCAAGTATTCGCAGCGACTGCCCATTAAGTCATAGGGGCAATTACAGACAAAACTGTCTGAGGAGAGGTCGGCGTAGCAAGTGCCTCCGTTTAGGCACGGCCCCGAGACACAGGCATTGCCCACTGTCCGAAGCTCACAGTTCCGGCCTGAGAAGCCAGGGGGACATGCGCAGACATAGGCATTCACCAAGTCATGGCAAGTGCCACCATGGGCACAGGGATTTCGTGCACAATCGTTGACGTTGATCTCACAGTGGGGGCCAGTGAATCCCGGGCGGCAACGGCAGGCACGAGTAGGACCCCATTCTAGACACTGGGCCCCTGGAGGGAAATGAAAGGGAGATTTGGGTCAGCCCCTGCTTGAGGTCTGAAGGCAGGAAGAACCCTTCTTCCCAGGGATGGAGTCAGAGGGTCTGTCCCTATAGTGGAAGGGAATTCCTAAGGGCTGGCCTTCACAGCCTTTCACCCTGTCATTTTGATTAATTCAACAAGTATCATATTGGCCTGAATTTAGCTCACATTCTTTCCTCTTAGATCAGAGTTCTTAATGGTGTCCAACCCAACTCCCTTTCTCCCACCACCATCTTGACTAGGTACTGACTACCAGAGTAGATGGAACCCATCAC